CAAGGTCTCTCCAGGCCTCAGTTTTTCCCTCTGCAAAATGGGAACGAGGACCTGGCCGCCACACAGGGAGGGCTGTCAGGAGACTGAAAGAGCCCCAAGGCCAGGGAGACGGCTGGCTTCCAGCGGCCGCTGCTCCGGAAGGGCCTAATTATCACCATTCCTCACGCTGACCCCGCCCTCCTCGGGGCCTGCTTCCCCGCCAGTCGCTGGAATTAGAGAAGGAGGAAGGAAGGAAGGCCGCCGCGCAAACCCTGACTCAGCAGAGCCCTGTCCGGCCCTTCCCCGGGCATCACCCACCGCGCCCACTGCTCCGATTTACACACTCACAGCCCCGACAGCCTCGGTGCCCGGCGGGTCCGCGCCCGTGAGTGACACGGGTGGGACTGGCACTCAGGGCTGCCTGCCTGGCTGCCTGGCTGCGCGCTGTGTGACCGCGCCTGGCCGGCCCTGCCTGTCCCGGTCTGGGCCCAACTCCGGCTGCGCGTGGCTGGCCTCCTCCCCGCAACACTCTGGACCCCCCTGAGCCCGCCCCCAAGCAGGGCCAGGGTCTCCCTCCTTGCTTTGCCCTTTGAAGCCACCGACGGGGCGTCCACTGTCCCTCCCCCAGAGCTTCCCTAGGTAAATTGGGCTGGTCGGTTCTTTCCCAGTGGCTCTTGGCTGTTCTCACCTCCTCCCTATGCGGGACCACGGAGTCTGCATCTTTCCTCCCCACCTGTCCTCCCGGACCCTAGAGAGCAACTGGGAAGCAAAACACATCTTCCCTTCACTCTCCAAGCCTGGCTCCCTTGCAGGGGGTGGTGAGGTGAAGGCAAGGAGGGCTGTGCGCGGCGTGTTCCAGCTCTCACCAAAATGCCTTATTTGCTGGCGGCAGCCCAGAAACCCTCCTCTCTGCGGGCCCAAATTCCACCCTGGCAACTAATGTCTTCCTATTTATTTATTGCTTAAAATCTTTTTATTAACACCCTCCTTCCCCTCGGAAAAAGCAGCTCTGTGGCTGGCGGGGCTGTGACCATAAAATCATTGGAGCGCTCGCAGAGGAAGGAGGGGCCGCGGCTGTAAAACCACTGCTGGCAGCCTCGGCCACTAAGAGGCCAAGATCTGAAAGGACCGCAGCACGTGGGCTCCGAGATCAAAGAGCCGGGGAAGGAGCAGTAACACAGGTCCCGATGCCAGCTCGGCTGCTTTCTGGCCTTGACCATCTCAAGAAGGGGAGGGTCTAGGCACAGCCCGGTGCTCAGAATATCCCAGGAACCGCGGAAGGTCTCCGAGAACTTCCTAAGCCTCCCGTCTGGGTAGGAGCTACCTCCTCGATCCTGCCCGTCCCTCATCTTGCTCACTGTTTAATTCTTTTGCACCTGCCCATCCTGTCTGGGGTGGAAGAAAGTCACCTGCCTCGGTTCAAATCCCTGCTCCACCCAACTTGGCAGCTGTGTGACCTTGGGGAAGCGACTCAGCCTCTCTGGGCCTCGATCATAAATGGGACGATAATACTTCATCTCAGTTTGAGGCTGTCTTGAGGACTGAGTGAGGTAATACGTGGAAAGCACTCGGCGAACGCTTAACAAGTTCTCTAGGGACCAGTGTCCCCTGGGCTCGCCTCCCCGTTGGCTGCCCAGCCTGGACCCTGAGCCTGCCTGTTGGTGTCCTGCCTACCCCCGCTTCTTGCTTTTTCCTCTTAAAATTTTTATTTTGACCTTCTTATCCTTGTTTAGCCTGCTGCATACATACAAGGCACACAGAACACATAAAATTTATAAAGCGGAACTGGTAATAAACGCTGTGAACGAGAACATTCTGAGCAACGTGTCTTGCTGGTGTCTCTGGGCTCCTCCTTGTCCCTTGGGCCTCCTCCGCACAGCCTCTATCCCAAGTTAAATCTTCGTCAGTTGCTTGTTTTTTTTTTAAATTTTTAAATTTAAATTTAAATTTTTCATTTTAGGGAGAAGAAAGAGGAAGGAGAAAGAGAGGCAGACGAACATCGATGTGTGAGAGAAACATCAACTGGCTGCCTTCTGACGCGCCCCAGTTTGGGACTGAATCTTCGACCCAGGCACGTGCCCTGACCGGGAATCGAACCAGAGATCTTTCAGTTTGCGGGATGATGCCCAACCAACTGAGCCACGCCAGCTGGAGCAGTTGCTTGGTTTTGGGGGACAGTTTTCTCACTTAGGCCTGTATCCCCTAAAACAGTATATGGCTTAGGTTTTCTTGTTGGGGGAGGATGGAGACTTAAAAATGGAATCAGGCTGCAGATAGTGTCTTACACGTGACATTAAGAGTCACTCATGTCATGCCCTGGCCGGGTGGCTCAGTTGGTTAGGGCATCATTCCGTGCAGCAAAAGCTTGTAGCTACAATTCCTGGTGAGGGCACATGCCTGGTTTGCGGGTTCAATCCCCGGAGGGGTTGCGTGCGGGAGCCAACCAATCAACGCGTCCCTTTCCCTCTCTCTCTAAAAATCAATAAGCCTGTTGCAGGTGAGGATTAAAAAAAGGAAAAAGAATCTCTCATGTCACTGTTGTGTAACAATGGTCTCCCTGGGAATTTCCCATTGCCCGGCCGATCCCCTCGGATCCACGCAGCCTCTGGTTTCCTCCTCAGGGCCGCTGCGGTTCGCCCCTCCTGCCTCCTCTTCCTGCCAGCCCTGCCCTTCCTCACCCATCTGCTCATCATGACTAATCTATCTGCAAGCTCCAGCTCCAAGGTTGCCTCATCTCACCTCCAGTCATTCCTTGACACTATTCTCGAAGACGTCATAAGCGCCCTTGAGCCGAGGACTGCAGAGGTGGTCCCCACGCCATCTCTATCTGTGGACAGGTCACCTGGGTGCCGTGGGGTGGGTCTGAAACTAAAAGCATGCCCAGGGACCGACCTGTGGTGGCCAAGAGTCTTAAACTGTGTGTGAAAAAGTTTGCCACAGGAAAGAGTGAGGTCCTCCCAGCCAAAGAATCCTTCAGGCACAGAGGTCTAAAGGTGGCTGATCCAGGCTGGGGCGGGGGGCGGGGGGGGCGGGCTGTGGAAGCAGCCAGGCAGGGCCCAGGTAGCGAGGAGCATGGGGGCTGCAGGGGCAGAGAGGTGAGGCCCCAGAAGCAGCAAGGCACGTGGAGGGAACCTAGGCCTCCCCACTTTTAAATGAGAGCAGCTCCGCCATGATCTCTGCGATGGAGTTCTGTTTGGGAGTAAGATCTCTCTCTGCCAAAGGTATCTGCATTAGAAGGGGCTTCTCTGGGAATTCCTGCAGAAGGGAGCCTAGTGTGCAAAGGCACTGGGGCAGCGAATGCGGAGGCGTGGCCAGGAAATTTGAAATCCTGGGCCAGATGGAATGCGGGCGAGGGAGGAGGTAGAGCTGGAAGGCCAGAGCACCTGGGCTTGGAATCACTCAGGGACTGGGAGGCGGGGAGGGGCAGCGCTGGGAGGACTGGAGGCGGGAGGCCAGGGCGAGGCTCTGAGGCCAGAATGGAGAGAGGCAAGTTACAGGAGAGCGGGGTTGGGCGGTGAGTGAAGGCTGTGGGAGAGGAAGAAAGGGACAAGGACAATGCCCAGGGGCCTTCCCTGGTGACCGATGGGCCCATTTCCGAGATGGCAGCCCAGGAGGAGGAGCAATTCTGGGGGAGCCTCCGAAGGGGTGTTAGGGGCCCCCATGAGGAGCATCCTTCTGGATCCAGGGGATTCCAGAAGCTTATGGAAAAGCAAGTCTGAAGGTCTGAGAGCAGCCACCCTGGGGGCAGCAGACATTCAGGTGTAGAAGTGTCTTCTAGATGAGAGTTATGTACCCCCATTTTTCAGATAAGAAAATGGAGGCTGAGATCTTCCTAGAGGCAGGGATCCGGGGGGCACCCAGCTCTCCCTGGAGGGAGGAACCGCAGAACGCGGACGGCCTGGAGAAGAGAGGGCCAGGACCTTCCCGAAGCACAGCTGGGCCGGCCTGTGGCCACTTCCAGCTGGCGAGGCCCAGGGACACGGTGAGGCTTGTCTACGTCACATAGCAACTAGAGTTCAGCTGCCCCAGCCCCGGGAGTCCCGGGCACCAGAGAGGCCTCTCTGTGCCCCTGCACGGGGCTGAGGGAGGCAGGGGGGGTGCGAAGCGGCATTTCCTGAAGTGGCCGGAGGCGCCCAGAAGGCCCGTGGGAGACCCTCGCCTGGCAGAGTGTGAGATCTGGGAGCTGGAAGGGGATCGCCTAAGCAGCTTGCTGTGCGATCTTGGGCGGGCTGCCTGCCTTCTCTGAGCCGCTCTCTGCTCAGTTGAAAAATGGAGCCGCGGGGAGAGAGACTATCACCAAGGCTATTGAGAGGAGAAACCGCAGGCTCTGGGGTGAGACAGACTGCGTTCACATTTGCGTCTGGCTGTGTGATCATAGTTACTTTCCCTCTCAGCCTCAGTTTCCCCCTCTGGAAAGCGGGTACTGTAAAAGTGTCTGACTCATCCCCAGGAACAAAGGAGTCATGCTCAAGAGGTGGCGAGTGCGCTGTCCTAACCGCTCCTAGGAGGGCCCTTCTTCCTGTCCCCGGCCCCCTGAGACGCAGCCTAGCTCGGGACTCAGCTGCATCCCGAGCCCCACCCACCTCTGCTCTCCCATCCTCCCCTCCACGGAGCCGGCGGCACCTTCTGAGCCTCTGTGAAGGAAGGTGCCCTGATTTGAGGGCTTTTAGGGGTGTCCGGGGAGGAAAGGGGTGGAGCGGGTTATCACGTCTCCTGAGCAACTATGGCGCGCCAAACCCTCTGCCCTCATCCAGGCCTGTGTAGGGGAGACAGACGGCTTGCCCCTTTGACAGACAGAGGAACTGAGGCCCCAAGAGGGAGACAGACAGCCCAGGCACCCCAGCTGGTGACTCAGGACAGCCCAGCTCCCTTCTAGGACGAACCGGCACCCCAGCGTGGCCGAGCCAGCCCAGCGCAGCCGGCCAGGTCCGTCGGGTCTGAGGCTGCAGGAGGCCGGGGCCGCTTTGCAGAGGCTCCTGGCTCTTCCCTCAAGCCACCTCCTGGCGGACACGGGGTCTTACCTGATTTCTGAGATGTCATTGTGTTCGGTGTCCCACAGGCCCTGGGTTAGGGGCTCAGCGGGCCCGTCCATGGCAGGCCGGCAAGGCAGGGGAGGGGAGGGCGTGCAGGGAGCAGATGACACGGCACGGGGATCTTGTGTGTGCAGCAGCGGCGTCTGCTGCCTGCCCGGGGAACCCTCCAGGTGCCTACCTCCACGCCCAAGGGGAGGGGCAGCTCCCAGCCGGTTCTCCCAGCTGCTACCCACGCCTCCAACAGCGGGAGCGGCCGGGAGGGAGCCACCCTTTTCCGAGAGTGGGGAGGAGGGGAGATGGGCAGGTCCTGGGCATCGCGTGGGGTAGAGTCCGGGGGTTTAGTGTCAATCCGGAACCTTCCTAAGCAGGCTGCTGGCTCTGGGCCAGCCTGGGCCCACCTGGAGCCTGTGTTTGCTCACCTGACAAAGGAACTAATTCCAGCTCAGAGAGTTTGTTCATTCATTCATCCATTCATCCATTCATTCCCTTATGCATTCATTCACTCCTTTATTAACTCGAGAAATATTGACCGAGTGCCTCCTGCCTGCCGGATGCTTTCCTACTGAGACGCCGCGGGGAACCCGGCAGGCAGAAGCTGCCCTCGTGGGCTGAGCCCGCGAGGGGCTCTCGGAGAGCCAGGCTGAGGGGCAGAGAGAGATGCGGCCGGGACCACAGCGGAGCAGAAGGGCAGAGACAGAGGGAGAGCAGAGACCCTCAGAGGGTCAGAGACAGCGAGAGACGCAGAGAGCAAAGGAGACACAGAGACAGAGATAGCGAGAGGCCAAGGAAAAGACAGGGAAACAAGGGTCACAGGGAGTGAGAGACAGTGAGACACAGGGACACCCGGAGATGCCAGACGATGCCAGACGACGCCAGACGTGGCTGGCGCGGAAGCCTGAGGGTCACGGCACCTGCTTTGGATCCCAGCACCTCCCAACCGTGGCGCCTGGACCCAGTCCCATCGGCCCCTTGTGCCTCAGTTTCCCCAACTGTGATGACCAGGTGAAACATTTCCCAAGTGGAAAGCGCAGGGAAGCCAGCGTCTCCTTCTGCTCTGTCCCCTCAAAACCCGGCTGCCCCCCACCGCTGGTCTCCTGACGCTCAGAGACCTGGGGTTGGGTCTTGAAGGTCCATCTCCTCCCCGAAAGTGATTACTTTTTATAGAACAAAAGGAGTGTGTGTACCTTGTCTTTTGTTTTTTGCTTTTTGCTTTTTTAAAAATGTCTGAGCAGATAAGTCTAGAAAGAAAAAAAAAGGATCCCTGTGACTCTCCTTCTTCCCACAGAGGTAACCATCATTAATTAACATTTTGGTTGATACTTTCTAGAAATTTCTCCTCATTTTTCTAGGATGCGTCCGAGAAATTTCGGTTGAATGAGTAGAAACAAAATTATCGCTATTTAAAATGTTCTTTATTTGCTGACCAGTTCCAGTTTGCCACGAGCTGCTGCGAGGCGAGGTGGGCGGGGCGCGTCAGACTCCGGTAACAGGCGCAGAAGGGGTGCTCCGAGGGGCAGGGTGACTCGCCCCAGGTCACACAGCGTCACCCACCCTCGCTCTGAGGGCAGGCAGACGCCGGCCGTCCTCGGGTGTTGCGCCTCCTCAGTTTGTGTGCCGGAAGGCCTACCCCCAAGTGCCGGGCGTGGGGAGCCCTCCCCGCCCCCACCCCGCCACGACTGAGTGGGAATCCTGCCTTGGCCCCTTTCAGTATTAACCTCGGTGCTTTCATCTGGGAAAAGGGCTTCCCCGCAGGGAGTCGGGGAATCAAGAGGGCCAGCTGTCCCGGTCTGCGGCGGAGGGGACCTCTGAGTGGAGACATCTCACCTGGCCCTGGGGCCTGGGCCACCTCACCCTCGTTCTGCCTTAAAGACCCTTCTGCCCTGGCTGGCGTGGCTCAGTGGATTGAGCGCCGGCCTGCGGACCAAAGGATCACTGGTTCGATTCCCAGTCAGGGCACATGGCTGGGTTGCGGGCCAGGTTCCTGGCTGGGGGCGCGTGAGAGGCAGCCGATCACTGTTTCTCTCGCACATCATGTTTCTGTCCCTCTCTTTCTCCCTCCTTTCTCCTCTTTTTAAAAAACGAAGCATCTTCTTTGTTCCTCCTTCGTTCCTGGCTCTGACTGCCCTGTCCTGTCCCTCCCACTGGAACCTCTGCTGAACTGTGTCACCTGAACTGCGTCACCAGGCCCCACACAGTGAACCAGAGGGGAGCGGCATTGTGCCAGGCAGGAACCTCAAGTTCTGGACACGGGAGGGAGAGTCTGAGAGGAACAGACCTCCTAGGTCCCTGAGGGAGACAGGAGAGGAAAGGCGAGGGGCAGTCCCAGGGGACAGAGAAATCCAGGGGGACCCAGTGGGAGCGCAGAGGGGGATACTGGAGGGGCAGGCGGGCCTGGAGGTTGTCTGAGCGGGACGGCCCTGCCAAACAAGGGGACCCAGGGGCCCAGGAAACGGTCCCACCTCTGGCCTTTGTGCCCATTGTTCCTTGTCTGACAAGCTGGTCCCCAGACTGGGAGTTTCACCCGGGTCAGCGCCGTCTCTCCCTCTGACCTCTCCCGCCAAGGTCTCCCCCCCACCCTGTTTGACTTTTCCCCGCAGCACGGATCCCCATTGACACCCTAAATGTTTTCCTTCTCAGTCTTGTTGACTCTCTCCTCATCAGATGGTCAACCCCACGAAGACAGAGCTTACGATACGATACGTTTTGTCTCCTGTTGTATCTGGAAGGAAGTGCCTGAGAGAGTTCCCAGAATGCAATGCTGTTCAGTCAGTGCTGTCGGTCACGGAACCGCCACAGGCGGTGGGAATGAGTGACTGGCGGTGTGCGGGGAGCCAGTTAAGTCTCCTCGGAAAATGGGGGTGCAGGTGGGGAGACGAAAGCCTGCCTGTGGAGGGCGAGGGGCCCAGGCTCTTCAGGAGGTGGCAAGAAGAAAAAGAAGACACCAGAAGAACAGCTTAATGACAAGGAGAGGGGAGAGTAATGGGGACCGGTGACACCCCAGAAGGGGATCTGGGGGTTTGAGGCGTCTGTAGGACAGGGAAGACACTTGGGGGGAAACGGGAAGAAAAAAGTGGAAAACCCCGTGCCAGCTGGTTGGGGGACGGCATGGGAAGAGCAGCGATTGTCCGTCCATCCGTCCAGGTTTCCATTCCCTCCTTCATCCATTCATTCTTCCATCCCTCCATCCGCCCATCATCTATCCCCCTGACTAATAGCTGAGGGGCGCCTCCTCTGGGTCAGGGCCCAGCTCTGTGTCCCCAAAAGGGACAGGTAAGTAAACAGGGCTTAGAGCTGTGCCGTCCTACACAGGAGCCACCGGCTGCATGTGGAAACATGGCGCATGTGCCCAAAGAAGTGAACGTTTCCAATTCACCTTTAATGAATTTAAATTTAGCTTTCAAAACAGAAACAGTATAAAATACCTCCCTTTGGTAAGACTACCCAAACCGAGCATCGGAATTAAAATAAAGCATGTAAGGTATCTCACGAGTAAATTTTATACTGATTACATAGTAAAACGAGGATATTTTGGATGTATTGGATTAAATAAAACATGGGCCTAAAATCACTGTCACCACACAGGTAAGTAAAAAATAAAAGAAACACTTTTTAATTTTTTTAAAAATGTGGCTCCAAGAGAGTTGATAGTGAGACACACGGCTAAGTCCTGGATGAACCGGCCGCAGGCTGGGGTGAGTCCAGCTGCTTGGTGTCCTGCCTATAGACACCCGGCCCCTCCGGCAGGTCACAAGCAAGGATGCCCCCATGGGGGACTCATTGGGCGGGGACCCGCAAGGAGAAAGCACTGGGGTGGGTGGGGCGGGTCTGGCCCAGGCGAAGGCCTAGAGGCTGGAGAGGCAGCTTGGAGTGTCCCTCCAAGCCAAAGAGGGGGCACCTGGGGGTTGGGGGACATTCCTGGGTCCTGGGCAGGAGCTCTCACCTGTCCCTGGGAGTTTTGGGGTAGGGATAGGACACATAGGGACAGGACACGCCCTCTGCCCCAGGAAGACATTATCAGTAGCCCCCTGGGAAGACGGATAATGTCACCGCCGACCAGCAGCAGCTCCCTCTTCTGCCTCAGAGATCAGGGGCTGAGTGGGAAAGGGGAGCGGGAGGCCATCTCCGGCCGGCTGAGGGCAGAGGGCAGAAGTGGGGAGCTCTCAGGAGCAGCCCCCTGCCCCCGCGCCCCGAGCAGCCCCCTGCCCCCGCGCCCCGCTTCAGCCCTGGGCTTCTCTCTAGGGGACCCCCTGGGCCCCAGGAAGCCACAGGATGTGCTATTTTGCTCTTAGAGCTTAGACATGGGCAAAGGGAGGTCACTGGGTCACGAGGTCATGTTTCCACAGAATCGGGGCCATTGTCACCTCTAGAGCCCGACCTTTTTATTAAAAGCTAGTAATTGCCAAGAATTCTGGGAGAGCTGAGGACGGGCCAGCTCTGGCTGCTTCGAGGCAGGGTTCCCGAGAGGGCAGAGACTGGGGGCAGGGCTCCCAAATCCTCGAGCCGAAACAAGGGATCTGAATGGGGTGGAGAGCGGGTGGCAGCGCTGGGACCGGGCGCCTGGGCTTTCGAGCGGAGGAAGGAGGGGCTGGGGGCCTGGAATCCTGCGACCGAGGGAGGAGGGGCTGGCGTTTGGACTCCGAGGGAAGGGGGGGCGGTGGCCAGGATTCTTAGGTCTGAGGGAGGAAGGGGTGGTGGCCAAGATTTTTGTGACCCAGACAGAGGTGAAACTGGGACACCTAGGCAGCCGGACCTGGAAAAGGGTGGGTCACGGGTGGGGGGCTGCCAGTGTCCAGAAGGCTCTCGCAGGCCCCTTTGAGACGGAAACAAAGGCATGCTGGGGCGGGGGGGGGGGGGGGGGGGAGGGAGGGCCGCTCACACCTCTGAGCCCGGATGACTCCCTTCCCCCAGCCTTCCCCTCTAATCAGTGGGTCCATCTCGGGGTGTGCGTCTGGTAGAAACCTCCTTCTCTGCTCTCCACCCCATTGCTCCATCCCCGCTGAGGAGCCCGCCCCAGGGCCGATACTGTAGCCCCAGCGCCACCCACACACTCACGCAGGCC